TGACATTAATTCAAGGATGTTTAATGTTTCACTTTGCTTTGCATGGCCTCCTTTTTAACAAAGGTCCATTTATTGAAGCTGAACTCCTATCTGATGGTCCATTTGAAGTTCTTCTTTCACGAAATTTTACTGCGATAATATTTAACTAAAAAACCGATACCATCAACTGTATATATCACCAAGAATAGAAGCATGTGACAAGTTGTTTCCGAGTAACTTTGCATCTCTCTACAGAATAAAAAGTCTCATTCAATTTTTCTTGGAAACACACACACAGACACACACACTTTTGCCCTGTCTCCCTGATGTGCAATAGTACCAAGTGCAATTTTCCCAATATAACAAAGTATTTTATTCTATTTGTATCTATTGTATATAATATTTTATTCTATTTTGTATAGTATGTTATTCTATCTTATCTTATCGTATCTTATTCTATTCTATTGTTTTTTCTTTTTTTCTTAATTTTCACTGCTCTTAACTTTGTGCCGTGACCAAAAAATTTAGCACGGGTGGGACTAATAAAGGTTTATCTTATCTCTTATCTTAAAATAAAAAGAATCCATTTTTCCAGTAATGAAACTCTACCCTGTTTTGTAGTCACAGGATTCTTTTACTGGGCATTTTAATCACAAATTTGACATTTAATTCCTGTTGCACTAAACACGAGGCTCACGCTCAGGTTTCACTTCTGCACAGCAGATTATTATCTGCTTTAGAAGCTCCCTCACCTAGATTAGTATCTGATAACAGTCAAATTTGGAAATGATGACCATGTTCGGTTGTCACTGGAGCGTGACAAGCGAACATCAGTGACCAGGGATGTAGCTCAGTCGTTTACTTAGTGCAGGGTACTTTCAGGCAATCTTCAGAACACTAATCAGCTGTCAGCAGTGTCATTCACACGCATGTCTAATAAGTCACCATTATTTATTGATTTATCACTATATATAACATGTTAAGTAATACGGAGAGACCAGTATTACTATGCTACTTACTATGCTGATGTTAGTTCAAGTGTAGCCAGTGGAAGCTGTTTTTCAAAACAGACAACAATAAGCAAAATCAAATGACTTGTGTTTACTGGCTGTAAAAATGTAAAAGCATTTCCAGTTTTTATTAGCAGGACACCAAAACAAAGAACTTACAGTATATCTGTGTTGACAGTAGTCTGTTTACTATAGCACATATTACGATAAGCTATCTTTGTCAATAAACTGAGATGCAAAAGACGGATATGGGTGAGGTAACACTGATAATGAACGAGTCCTGGTCCATGCTGGGAATCAGGCTAATGAGTTGGCATTTGTACAGATGGCCTAAATTTAGCCTGAAGGCGGTGGCTTTTTCCTACATGTCTGTAGAGAGTGGCTAATAAGGACAGTAGAGCAGGTGATGGGAGAGCCAGGAAACTAACTATTTCTGGGACCTTAAAATATTAAAATCTTGTTTGACTGCTGGAAGGTCACTCTAGTTCACTCACTGTCTCTAAACACTATCCTGTTTCATCTGCCCGATTCACCTTAAGACACCCATACCTGTAATCTGGTCAAGGCTTTCATTCTGCTGGCTGCTGTCCAGCACTGGATTTGCACCTCCCTTAGGAGTGTGAGTTTTCTTCTAATATAAAAAAATTTGAATTTTTTTTTACCATGATTTATGATTTTGGTACCATATGTTGTCTAATAATAGTAAATTAAAATTAATGCTTTGATTTCTAAAATTTACTTTATGTTCCTATACCAGATGCTACCAAAGGATACAGGATTGGGGGTATTTAGTCTTAAAAACAGACAATGACGCTCTAGTGGTCCTTATTTTTGAAGCCACGTCAAGTTGATTTATTACGAGAGAGTGGAATTAAACAATGGCTGATGCATCCTGTGTGCAAACAATGTACACCCAGATGAAAAAGAAAGTTCCTCACAGGACTTTATGTAGTCCTGTGAGAAAGTACATATACAATAACTGCTTCCATAAGAATTAAGAGGGTGGAAAGCAGCATGGTACTGATCATCAAATCAACTTGATTAACTGATCATCGGCAAATGTGAGCACCTCTATCAAAACAAAAACTTTGGGAGGTTGCTAGTCTGGAACATTCAGGTGTGTGTTAAAACAATGCGCAGTCTTCCCAGAAGTGGATGTCTGGCAAATTCACCCCAAGTTCAGACTGTGCAACACTCACAGAAACGAGATCAATTCAAGAGCTACATCTCAAAATCTACAATCGTCAGCAGTACAACAGTAAACGGTAACACATAAATTGGATAAGGCAAGACCAAAGTGTAGATGTCTTGCCACAGTGGATGTCACCGCATCATATCTGATGAAAAACAAGCACACTACATTATCATAAATACCTTATACCAACTGTCAACATTATTTGGGTTTGGAAAAGTTCTCAAAGAAGTTCCTTGATCGACCTTCGGAGCCCTACTTGCACTCACTGAGATGCTAGTTCAAGTACAGTCAGTGGTAGCTCTTTTTCCAACCCCACACAACAATGAACAAAGTCAGCTGACATTTGATTTGGGCTTGTTTAGCAGCCACGGGATCTGAGCATCTTGCAGTCACTGCAGTTGACCATGTCGACATTCTAGAGTCAAATTTAAGGCCATCTCTCCGAGAGCTAAAGGTTGGCTGAAACCAAGTCATGCAACAGGGCAATGATCCCAAGCACAACAGCAACTCTATAGCAGAATGGCTGAAAAATGGGAGAATCATGGTGTTGCAATGGCCCCCACAATGTAAGAGACTGAAGTCACACAGAAAACTATTACGAAACTATACTCAGGGTGGTTCTACAGTACAATCTACTGGATCTTGGCATTTTACAATAAATAAAGGCATGACAATAAACCACGTCAATGTTTGCCACCTTGATATGAATATCAGTTCCCAGTGTGGACTCAGTGAAGATGTATCTGACACCCCTACTTTCAGGCAGTGCGGAGCATTATGACTCTTTATACTGACCCACATTATCAAACACATCCCCTCACTCAAATCGGGAAATACCTCAAGTGAGTTCATCAAACAAAACCCCGCTTGGCAAATCCAGTGCAACATTAAAAACAACCTGCTGCCCTCATAAAAAGTCACAAAGTGATTTACTAAACTGCATTCAACATACTCCGCTGACAAAGACTTTCCCACAATAAAAGGCACATAAACATGATTAAACACCCTCACAAAACTTTTATAGTAGCAGTAGCTGTTGGTTAGGTTTTACGTAGTTAATCAAAATAATTTTTTCACCAAGCAAGAAATTTGATTACACTCAGTGTCAGCATTTTTAAAACTCTTTCTTTCAACATTTCTACACAAACTGCCCACTAGGTTATGTTATGGTTATGACTATTGCTGATCACACATCTGTGAAAGTAGGTGGGCTCTGGTCCTTATGAAAGTTAGACCTGCCTCCACCACCCAGACCTTCCTACCACCTCACACCACATCAGATCTATTTTCTGTAGATACTGGGCTGAATGTTCGTCATTTACATAAGCACATAATCTGCTTTTGTTTTAAATTACTGCCTGGGAGGCTTTTAGAAAGTCAGCTTTTCATGTCTTTAAAAAAAAATCCTGTCCTTAATACTCTCGTTAACAAAGGCACACAGACACACACTTTGTGTAACCAGCGCAGTGTATCAGAACACTCATTTTACTGTAGAGCACTATTACATTGTTTACAGTCAATTAAAAGCTTAATCAAGTGAAGAACAGCCTCCAGCAGCTGCTTGGCATGCTGAAGTGCATTCAGTAGATGGTGTGTGTATTTGAGTCCAGCCTCAAGTAGATCTATATGCGTGCATGGCTCATGTTGTTATATAGCAGCAAAGGAGAAATTAGTGCATCACCTCTGTGATGAAATGTCACTGATTAGCACCCTGTTCCTTAGTAACTGAACAACATTTGACCTTTTCATGTGTCCCGACACAGGCACTGAAGCTTCAATGTCCCCTCATTAAGCACATTGAGTGCATGTTTACTCATCCATACACTAAAGCTGACGCACCTCTAAGTCAAATAATAGATGTTAGGTCATAAAACATGCGATCGGCGGTGACCAAGAAGAAGTTCCCCTGCATGAACTTACAGCAAAATGAAGAAGAAGAAGAAGGGTGGCATACTAAATGTTAGAAGCTAATTCACAAGAAAATAGTACACAGCAAATTCAGAAAACAAATAGATTCATAGAGCATGTGCATGGGTAAAGAATCAAGATGGGAAAAAATAGCTGTGGCCTCATCTTTTTTTTTGCTCACAAGCAGGTGATAAGCTGCAAAAAAATTATAATTCATGACACTGCATGGTGATCAGGCATGAATCAAGGAGTGACAGACAGGCTACTGAAATCATAAATGCATCTTCTTTCATGATGGAGACAGGACTGGTTACTTTGTCACTCACATAGTCTATTCCCACAATGTGCCAATCACTCAGCTTGACAGTACGGATAAGAAAATACAAGTTGATGAGGTAAGTCTCTCCTTTGGGTGCATGAGTGGAAAAATACGAGGAAAAAAAAGCAGCTGAAGGTATGTAATACATGTAAAAAAAAATTTTTTTTTTAAAAACTAAAACAAACAGCTGTGGAGGCACAAGTTGTTCATTCTTTTTGGCTAACAAATGTGTGGGAAAATTATAATTGATGATAAGCAGTGGTATTCACACAAGAGTCAAGCACTTATAGAGAGGCTTAGATTCAAATTAAAATCAATTTTAAGGCTGGAGACAGGATTAGGCTACTTGGCTGGTCAAGCAATCCTGCAAGATGTCAGTCAGTGTGATAAGGATGATAAGAAACTCAAAAAAAAGAACATCAAAATAAGAAAAAAAAGTTTACATTTGCGTTGTTCTCTTTGTTATTATTATTGATTTCGTCGTGTTTGCTTGCTCTCGATAGTAGGTGTGTGTGAAGTTGCAGTGAGCACACGGTATCCCTGTTTCTCTTTGCCAAACTTTTAAAAAATGTTCATGTAAGGCTCTTACCTGTGTCGGGCTCCACGCCTCCCTTGCGCACAGTCAAATATTCCCCCCTGCGCGTGTATTCCCCTTATATTCCTACTGACATGACAGAAGTGTGAAAGCTGCCGCGAGCCCGGCGAGTCTGATACGCACGGGCTGCAGACGAGTGACCGTCCCACCAAGAGAGAGAGAGAGAGATAGACAGAGAGAGGCGGGGTGATCGTTGCCGCCATCGCGTGGCAAAGGGGGGAACTGCATGCTTATAGTACAGCTGCGGGTGACCAACTGGCCCACTTTATGTGAGAGTGGACATCATATTTTACCTCTCTATCCCACATAAATAGAAGATACTTCACATTTGCAGTGGTCAAAAGCCTTCACTGTAGGACATGAATGCTTCTAAAGTCAGGCTTTTTACGCAGCTGATGTGACGAAAGAAGGTTAACCTGTTTTCACACCCGACGGGAAGGGGCGTTTCTAAGATTTTTCTTTTTTGACCGGGTGGCACGGGGCGGGGAGGGGGGCAAGAACGAGAATATTTAATCAAAACAAAATCAGACGTGGGAAAAAAACAGTAGTGCAGCAAATATACGAAACATACTTGGATATATGTTTTTCAAAGTGGATGACAAAATGCAGTAAAGTTTACAGTCTTGTGCAGCTCAGTGCTGAGGTGTTTGATGAAAATATTTAATCAAACACCTCAGCACTGAGTTTTACCTAAAGTTTTTCAGATTCAAATGAAAAAAGCGATTCTGTGTTGTGTCTGGGTTAGGGTTATATATCACATTTTTGTCAGTTGATTTTTGGTGCATCATTGCATCCTGGTACCTTACATTTCCCTTTACCCTCTCTCACACACACAAACTTGCACACATGTCATCATTTACATACACACTATTGCTTAACGACACACACACAACCATTAACTGATCCCTGGTCTCCTTACTGCGGATATTGCTCACCGTTTCTCTCATCAAGTTCACTGATGACCTAACTGTCCCATTACATTTTTTCATCCCATAAAAAGTTCTTGTGCCCATGTTAGTCAGTGGTTTGCCTGCTTATATATCCCACTACTCCACACTCTCAAAATGTGAACACAGAGGTTCTCCCTGTGACCCTCCCTCTTCACTACACCTGATCCAAATTTAATGTTGACCAGTTAGCTGAACTTGGTGACTGCCCCTGATGTAAAACGAGTTTGACATCCCTGGACTAATCCGTCTTTACAACGTCAATCTAAATTACGGGCAACACCTCAACGCATCACTCTCTGGTGCAGGTGGGCACTTTACGGTACCTCAGAGAAAACAGAAACAACATTAAGCTAGCAAGAGTTCGCAAGGTCGCTCGTGTGGATAGTCACAGATAAATAAGGAATTAGTTCGGACCTGGACCTGGTTTTAAAAAGTTGAGAGTTCCTGGTGTTCTGACAGTGCCATTTACAAGCCAAACAGAAGATAAACGTCGTTGCACTCAGATTCTGAATGACTAAACTACCAGGAAATGCAGGTGTATCGCTGCTCGGGGACAAGTCCCTGGAGTTCTACCGGGACCCGGTGAGCTTCTGCCAGCAGAGGATCGAAAAACACCGGAGCAGAATGTTTCTCTGCCGCCTAATGAACAGACCGACAGCCTTTATCTGCTCCGTGCGAGGGATGAGAGAGCTGCTGTGTGGTATAGTGAACACTTTCTCTTTTACGACACATAGTTAAACTTTGCTTCCACAGTCAAAGGGATATATGGAAAAAAATTCCTCGAGTAGTCCATGGGAGAGACTCGGGATAGTATTGGGGGAAAATATTATTATTATAGAAGTTTAATTGTTTTTACTTTTACAAATGATTTAAATACTTGCACTTTAATAAATTACTCATATTATATTGCACACTTAAAATGAGGATAGGGCCTATTCAGTGACCAAAATATACCGAGAGAGAGGGAGAAAATAGATTTTTTTTTGAAGCGTTAATGTTAACACACTGTATTTATTTGTGATTTAGATTTTTTTTTTTTTAATACATGACTTACTGGACATTAAAGTTTTATAATTTACATTTTAAAGCACATGCTAGCGGTAGGAATTTGTGTAAACAAATTTAGTCCCCTAAATACAAATATCTCCAACCTTAATTTAGTCGTTTCTGCCTCTCACATTTAAACAGTTTAAATATCCCATGGCATGATTTATTCAACTTATGCATCGTGATGTGATGATATTTTTGTTATGCTGTAAAATAGGAATGAGATCACAGAAGCACTCATGAGAAAAAGCAGAGATTTTCCATGCATGTTGTGTTTAGTACAAATGAAGCAAAGTGTGACGTGGACGTTTGATTGAAGAGTATGCAGTGATGTTATGTGATGTGTTTCAGAGAAGTCCAGTTTGTTTCTTAAGGATCCAACTGACTTGATGACAAACATGTATGGTGACACCATTGTTACTACTAATGGTAAACACTCACACACATACAAGATGGCCCACACTTAAAGTATATTCAATTTGAGTATCAATTTTCCCTTCCCTACTCCACATGCTTTAAATACAAGCAAAAAACTTTGCAAACAGTGACTTGCATTGGTATATTTTAGGTGAGGAGGCATGCCTTCTCCGCCTGTCACTTACCAGCCTCTTTACAGGAAGCTGTTTGGGATCGTGGAGTGATTATATCGCAAGGTAATCATAATATTGTTACAACAGTAATTCATGTATTTGATAGCTGGGGGATGCCTCTGACTGAAGTTTGGGTTGTGGCGGCAGAAATAATTGCATAGATATATGTGACGCAACTGCAAACCTTTCACTGCTGCAGCAGTTGAAATGTGTCCATCCATGTCAAAGGTTTCTCTTGCAAGAGCTGAGTCCCTGTTTGTTTGAGAAACAACAGTTCTTTCCAAAAAAACAGTTGTACTTTTACTTAAGACTAAAATATGTCTGTGCTTGTCTGTTTGTGTCTGTGTAGTGTATGTGAGCGCTGTCTGAAGGACCTCTCTGTCAGGTAACACTTACACCAGTTATATCCACACATATTTACCTTTTTCACGGATATATTTATATGTATTAATGTAGCTCAAAGAATACAATGAGATTTACAACAAGTATTGTTTCACAGTCCGAATAAGTAAAAAGTGATACTCTTTGATAAGCAAGAGTAAAGTTAGGTCCATAAGTATTTTTACTGTGTATGTAGTCCTTTATTTCAGAGGCTCAAAATTAATCAGACAAATTACTGACAAGCAGTTTCATGAGCTGTGTGATCAAAAGGATCACACAGCTCAGCTGCACTAAGAGATCTTAAAAAAGAACTCAGGTGTAGCATCACAGATTCTTACCTTGTTTAAGAAAAAAAATCACTTAAGAAATAAGAAATCTGTAGAAGATAGGTGTATCAGTCTAATGTGTGCAATCGGTGGATGCCATCATTAATATAAATACAGAGGGTTCACCATAAGGTGCAAACCATTGGTTACACTCAGGAACAAGAAGATCAAAGTAGATTTTGCGGGAAAACTAAAAGAGCCTGTACAGTTCTAGGGAAAAAAGTCTTTGGACAGATGAAATCCAGATTAACTTGAAGGGAAGAGGAAATTATAGAGAAGGAGAGAAACATCTCCTGATCTGAAGGAGACATCACCGTCAACATGGTGGAGATGATGTTGTGGCACGGGCGTGAATGGCTGCCAGTGTAACCAGGTCACTCGTGTTTGTTGATGATGTTTATAGAAGGAGCAGGATGAATTGTGAAGGGCACAGAGCAATGATGCAGAACTGATCAGACAGCGCTTTACAGTACAAATGGATAATTACTCAAAGCCAACTGCAAAAGCAACTCAAGAGTTTATCAAGGCCAAGTCACTGAAAGACAAAGAAAGGAATCCTTGGAATAAAAAATGTGTTAGTGTATCCGATTATTTTAGCCTCTGAAAATGGGAGACTGTGTGTAACAATGTCTGCAATAACTAAAAAAGTAACCGCCTTGAACCCCTTGAAGTAAAGCTGAAGGTCTGCACTTCAGTCACATCCTGATTGTTTCACTACAAACACACTGTGCTGATGTACAGATACAGTGTACACCACCCACCGCAGATGTAATTCACACAACCACAATGACAATATTTTGTCCAAACACACCCAACCTAACTTTGAAACCAAAGCTGTGAAGATGAATATCACCATGTGAAAAAAGTACAGAAGTTTTTTAAATGTAGTTGTTAGGACACTAAAATATAAACGTCCAATGTTTATAATATTCATATTTTCATACATACATATACAGCTTTATGGTGTGTTTCTATCAGTATTTCTCGAAGTCACTTGCTTAAATTACAGTCTCTCCCTGAGCCTGGTTCTGCTGGAGGTTTCTTCCTGTTAAATGGGAGTTTTTCCTTCCCACTGACACCAAGGTCCTTGCTCATAAGGGCTCATCTGATCGTTCAGTTCTCTGTTGTATTACTGTAGGGTCCACCTTACAATATAGAGGCACCTTGAGGAAACTGTTATCGTGTTTTGGCGCTGTATAAATAAGTTGAATTGAATAATTTAATTGAATAAACTCATCAATGTGTCTCCGATTATATACTTGTGTGTGTCTGTGTAGTGGTCAGCCAGAGAGTGTATACACTGTTTTTAAGTCTCTGGGGACAGAGCTGGTGTTGGGCCTTTTTCTGAACGTACGAGCTGAGAAGCAACCTGAACTTTTCCAGGAAATCAGTCAGCTGTGCACCCAGCACTGGCACGGTAGGGCCATACAGATAAATCATACACACACACACACAAAAAAAAACCCTCGTGCTAATTTTTTATTTTAATTTTTTTGCAGCCTTTTGCATTGATGTTCTTTCTGCAACTTATTTTTATTTAAATATAACACTAAGAAGTGATCAATCTTAACACCTCTGGTAATGTTAAAACATGACAATTTTTTCTTTTGTCTTTTTTTGGCAACTTCAAGTTTTGTGCAATAGACTATTGCAACATCTCCAACTTCCTCTTTCATTCTGGGACCGCACACATTCATCTGTGTGTTTCTGACTCTTTTGTTCTGCGCCTTCTGCCCTCCTCCCCCTCACCCTGCAGGCCTGATCTCTGCTCCAGTAAATGTGAAGGTTCCTATGTGGTCGTCGGGTTTCTCCATTGCCCTCGATGCCAGGAACAAACTGATGGACATCATCAAAGATAAACTGGAGAATGACAAAGAGGGGTGAGACTGCACACACCTCAGTTCATCTGCCACTGCTGCTTTCACAAAAACAAGTTTTTCTCAATTAAATAGTTACATTTCTATCCGGATTGTTTGTGCACGTTTTATATCAAGACAGATATGTTTTATATGTTTTGTATTCCACTTTCTGTTCCTCTTGTGTCTGAATAATGCTACGCAAATAAACTTGACTTGACTGAAGTTAAATGATGTATAAATCTCTCCTTTCAAACATAAATCAGACTCTAGTGGAGGCCTTGGGTCTATACTGATGCTCTGATTTGTATAAGTGGCCCTTGATTAAGGATCCTTTCTCTTTCTTTTCTGTCTCTGCGGCCCTCTCCAGTTTTGTTGGCTCTCTCGGTTCTTTGCCGCTGCCTGACTCAAGTTCTGCAGCCCAGCACCTCCTGTTGTTCATTTCAGCGCTGATCCCGAAAGCCCTGGCATCACTGCTCACCTCCTTCACATTGGCACTCGGTGGGAATGGACAGGTACACAAATACAGGAGAAGAGTTTACAATAAAAAGAGGGAACATTGATTTACCCAACTTGTTATATCTTTTTGTAAAGGAACTGATTATTGTTCTTTCACGTTTATTCAACAACTGCAGGAAAAGCAGCCATGAATGCGCAGGAGGAATCCACGTAGTACCGTAAACAGGCCAGTCACAAAAGCTGTAGATAGCATTGACTCAACATTTAGCTACTTTTCCAGGGAGGTGTGTGTCAGGTCAGGCATAGCATATAGTGTACGTTACAGTGTAGTGTTTCAGAAGGGTTTCTGGTTACAGTGTTCCTACGGCGTAGATTTAACACTGAAGTATAAAATCCCCGTTAAGCTGATTGTCTTAGTGCCTCATAAAATACTAACAGTGATCAAAACAAGCCAGTGTTAAGGTAGAAATGGAGTCCACCAATCATACTGTCAAGAAGGACTCAAAAATGCTCAACATACTCAAAAATGCAGTTTACACAGGGACAAAAAAACAAACGTGAAACTACGGTTAGCCAGCTAGCTGCGATGTTTGCTAGCCATTTGTACACATCAACATGCAGTGGTCTAAGGAGCTTGGAAAGAAAATGTTTGGACTTCTTTAAGTTTCCTTGAAGAGGTTTCACCTCTCATCCGAGAAGCTTCTTCAATTCTGAAGAGCTGAAGAAGCTTCGCGGATGAGAGGTGAAACCTCTTCAAGGAAACTTAAAGAAAATAAACGATGGACATCCACCATGCCACCATGCCATTACCTGATTACTTTTTTAAAGACACAAAAAACTAAAGCAATCAAAGCTGTCATCTCACGCCTCTAATTTTGAGCCTTACCAGTATAACTCAAACATCAGCATCAGCAGGACTTGAGATTCATGTAGGCTCTATATGTAAAATGTTTCAGTTTTCAGTAAAAATCTTTGTGCTCTGACATACAGCTCGTTGTCTCTGTCTCCATGTTCAGGAGAAAGCCCGTCGTCAAGCAGCAGAAGACCCTGATTACCTGTGCCGGGTGCTGCTGGAGGTGCAGAGGCTATGGCCTCCTTTCATTGGTGGACGCAGAATAGCTGATCAGGTAGTTTTTATGTAAATTTCAGTGAATGAGCCAGTGCTCCTCATCTAGCACAATTATACCGTGAGTAATGTCTTAAAAGTGAAAGAGAATGAAGATTTTAATTTCGTATCCATGTCAAACACGTCTGATTTTTCCACCACTCATCTGGTCAGTTAGAAAACTTTTTGCAGAATCTATTTAGTTCTATTCAGAGGTCCAAAGTTTATGAGTGCGGAAGTGAACATCATCATGAGAATATTTAACAACTGAAAAAATACAACCCTGCAGCAGTAATGACTTAAATTGGGAACTTATTGGTTAGTCTGGTGACTTAGCCTTTAGGGTAATGACTAATCTTTGGGACAGATTGTTTACTGTTGCGGATTGTTGCATTTTTAAAAAGCCTAGTCATTGTCAGATGACCAGTAGTTTCAGTGGATTGCATTTTGGCAAATCCTTTTCCTGTTTTTGGTCCACATGAACTCTTCACCTGCATGAAACCAAAGCCTGCTCAGACATCACCGGTCAGCACAATTTGCACTTCAGTAAAAACTTGCTGAATTCAAAGGAAATAAATCTAGCAGCATGTGAACAGGTTGCTATTGAAATACCTCCCAGCAAACCCGTGTTTTCAGATATTTTATGGTTTGTATTTGTGTTTATAATTTTAATCCTGAGGTAGAAGTAGTTGTAGTAGTACTTGTAGTAAGCATTAGTTGTTTTGTCTTGCTCTGCCTTCCTCTAGATGGCGACAGCTGACTGTAGATGAAAGACTTTTCTAAGAGCGTTGTCTGTGCATGCTGTCCTGCAGAAGGACTTAGTAAATATTGTATATCTTCAAATGCAGTAATTCAACTTTACAGTCGTTTTGAGACTTCTTCTGTTCTCTCTCAGTGTTAGTGAAAGTCCTCTTGAAACCTTTATTTGTGTGCTTTTACAACTACAGCTGTGAAGGTTCGCCCAGCTGTGAGGTTTACCACAGGTAAACCACTCCACGTGTCAGTTATTATAATATCTTAAAGTTTGTTTAATTGTATTATTATTTTTCCTTTCCCCCTGTTTGCTGTGCATGGTCCGTTGGTTCTCATGTGATTATGTAAATTGATAATTTGTAGGCGTGTTTGCTGAGAAAAGTCTAGTAAAATGTAATCTGTACACTGATCAGACATCTGCCTGATAGTCAAAGCCCACGTCGTCTCGACTTACCGCCTACTGACTGCTTTTACCCCAAGGATGGGGCATTCAACAGTGTGTCCGCCTCCTCCCTCCGTGGCAGTCTTTGAACCCTGTGACTTCAGCAAACAGGCTTATGCAACAGTCCAATCAGAGACATTGATCTCTCTCTGTGATCGATTTCCTCCGCTTCCCCTCCGGAAGGAAGCGAGTGTGGGAGGGGACGGGGGTGCCAGTGTTTTCGAGTGAGGGTAAAGTGAACTGGTGATGCTCTGAAGCGGAGTGGAAAGTTTTGTCAGTCCTGTGAAACATACCAGTGCACCATTCTTGCCAGCGTCAGCGGTTTATACAGAGATATAAATAAGATAAACACAAATGCACGAGCAAGACTTACAGGACTGGGCGCTAGAATATCTGCAGTGACTCGAGCAGCTGTGAGAATATTTGTATACTTAAAGATACTCCAGCTAAAGTTTGAAAAGCAGTACAACTGGCTGTTAATAATGACATATTGCCAGTGCCATAGCTGATGCCCTGCCAGAAAATGCAAGAGGCAAGTGCTGTGCCTGCTCTGAAAGGACTGATGAGATGTTTATGTGTGCAGGGAAGTGTGTAGGAGAATGAGTGGTCATTAGTATTCACAATCAGGTGGAAAAAAGTGGATCCTCCCATCAGGTGGAACTAAGATATGCAGTGGTGTTTTACAACCTGTGTGCAAGAGTGAATGAGAGAAAGGGGAGGAGGGAGAAAGAATGAAACCAAGTGCTGAGGCATTTCTCAATGAGAAGAGGGAGAATGAAAGAGATTTGTAAAAGATTTTCCACTCCACCAGAGAGAGGCAGAGAGAAAAATGAGTGTGCACAGGAAAGAGAAACAGTGATCATGTTCTCCAGCAGTCCATTAGTGTGGCTGCTAATGGATGTAGTGAAAAAGGTGATTTAAAAGGGCAACAATTGGTCTTTTTGCCCCAAGGTGGCTCTTTTCACCAGGACTTAATGGAAAACTGGGCCCGGGATATTTTGTTTAAAATTGAGTTTTTATTCAGAATTAAAAGTGGGGCCTACTCACTGTGGTTTAAAAGGGTTTTTAACCCTTTCCCCTTTTTGCCAAATGTTGTCTTTATGGGGGAAAGAGTCAAACGTTTCTTTCTTACAATTGTGCCATTTTCACTGCAGGTCAGGTGCGTATGTACACATGTAAAATGCAGTGTAAAGTAACACAAGCGTTCAGTAAAAGACCAGGAAAGCATTTCAAAGCCAAGTTTGTTACCCACATGATATTTAATAATATGAAAATAATGTGAATATGTCTCTCTGTATGTTTGTGTAGGACTCCACGCTCATGGGGTTTCATGTTCCTAAAGATTTTGGTGTGATTTATATCAGCCATGCCGTCCATCGCGACCCGGAGGTGTTTCAGGAGCCTGATGCCTTCCTGCCAGAGAGATGGAGCGGAAGGTGAGGATCTTTTCTCTCATTCTTTTATTTTATTTTCTAGTTGTCAAGGAGTGTCATCGTGGTAGTAGAATTTCAAACTCGATGTCGACACCTTGGAAATACTTGATACCATTGTCAATACTATGGGGAAAAATAGAGTCATTACAAAACAGAGATTAGAACAATGCAAACAATAACATCAATGACAACACGATTTTTTTAAGTTGTCTGATATGGTGCAAAAAATTGCATCACTAATGCAAAGTGTAGATATGACAAATGTTTAAAGATTGTAAAATGGTAGTGAAAAAACCCCAACACATAAACACAAAAGGACGAGGGGCAGCGAGGTAGTGCCGCGCTTCTGGTGACTTGGTGCCATATTTTTGTTGCTGATGAAACAGAGCAGTTAAAGTAGACTGCTACTGTTTCTGTGTAGTTGCTGATGAACTTTTCTCACATTCAATCTGCTGACTGCCTTTAAGAGAAAAATAACTCTTTTCAAACCCAAATAATTATGTTATCCTGTAAAACTTATGCTGTCTTTTAAAACTACAGTCAGGGAAATTAGATAATGTTTTGCTACTTACTCCAACATTAATGTTATCGTTTTTTTATTTAGTTGTAACTGGTCAATTGCTAATAGTTAAACAGCAAATGTTAATGTACGCGCCAGCCAGGTAAACATTTATGATAACGGTTTAATACTTCAGTGCTGATGAAACGGGAGCGCTACTGACCTCTCAAAATTCCTCATAGAGTGTGAAAGTACAGCAGTGCAGTGTGAAGTTGTGTGTCAACTGGAGGGCACGAGGAGAGCACTAATGGTAACAGGACTGTTGCAAACGAGTATATAATCCAACAGTAATTTTGAGGACCAGTTAGTATCTTTTCCTTTCTTTTTTGACAACACTATTATCGAGTTAACAGCTCTTTACAGATATAGACCAAAGTGTCTCTGGTATCCTAGCACCAATGAAGAGGAGTATTATACAAGAACATGAAAAAGCAAGAGGGTTAAAACGAAGGTTTCTAGTCATTCCCAGCATCACCGAAAGTCGCAAACCATGCAGTATTTAGTCATTAATGTCTTTAGAAAAAGCAATCAATTATGCCTAGAACTTCAGCCTTGAAAAGGTAATGTATCAGTCTTTCAGGGAAAAACATTATTAATCAAGGCTTTCCCACAGACTTAAAATATATGAGCTGTGCCTCAAATGAGATGTTAATTTCATGGGCTTTTTTTTTCAAACATAGGTTTTCTTGATGTTGCTGGATTGACCTGCACATTAAATAAATGTGACTGACACACAGCCAAAGAGTAGAAAATTGTAAACTGACAAAATAGCTTCAAGAACGGACAGGACTTTGTGGACCAATGGAAAAAATGGTAAAATTTAAAAAATGGTGAATTTTTTTTGTTTTGTTTGTTATTCTGAAAATTTCTTAGATCAAACTAGAAGGAAGCAAACGGGCAGTTCTGTTTATACTCCCTTACTGATACATACTTACAAACACGCTACATTTGCACACTCAAACACAATCAGCATTAGAAAGAGTAAGTGGGAGGAAGCTTTTAGTGCTGTGACACATCAGGGATCGAGGAAATGCGTCACAAAAAGATGTTTAAAAAAACACAAAGAAAAAGATAAAAGAATAAATAATAGAGCTTTTTTTTCCGTGTGCATTTATACGTATAGTTATTTATAAGGCACTCGATAAAATCTGAAAAGAAAGAATTATAGTAATGGACCCTGCTTTGAGGCATGCCACAAAGCAAAAATGATTCAGGAATAGTTTGAGTAAAATGAGTTGAGTTAAATGGACTTCCAATTAGTAGATGATCTGCTCTACCTCTCGAGCTTCAGCCACCCCAAACGCCAGCTGAGTCCAATCGAGCATCTGTGGGATGTGCAGGACAAACAAATCTGACCCACAGAGGCCCCACCTCGGAGCTTACAGGACTGTAAAGGATCTGTCGCTAACATCTTGGTGCCAGATAGCAAAGCACACTCTCAGGGGTCTGGTGGAGTCCATGCTTTGATGGGTCAGGGCTTTTTTGGGAGTGGGACCAACACACGGTTAGGCAGGTGGTCATAATGTTATACCTGATGGGTGCACATATGGCAAATATAATGCTAGTCACAATTTACATATCCCCAAAATGCTTTAGCTTCATTATATAATGGCCAAATGGCTTGCTGCGCAGGCAGGGTGAATACCTGTGTTGTCGATTATATTTTCAGTTCAGCACCTTGTAAAAACTATCTCTGTGTTGGGTTCTTCACCCTGTTGGAAATGCACCATATTGTTCAGTCTTTATAGCACAGTATTATGCTTATACAGAAAGTATGGACAGCTGAAGAGGTTCTGAAGCTGTTGATGACGTGACTAAATGACAAAGTTATACTGTATTAACATAAGCACAGATAATGGATTACTAATTGCAGCAGGTACCACACAATAACTTCCTGTTTCAATGATAACTTTAAGAATAGCTGAGGGGGTTTAGGCCACATTTGCTGCGGTCAGACTAAAATACACAGTTTTACTGGATAGAAATGCACTCTTAAAATAGATGACAGCAAGATTAAATCAATAGTCTGTTCTACAACTTGTTTTATGACCGCAAAGCAGAAAAGAGTGCTGGTTAGTACTTTATATACATACGCCCACGTCTTTACTATAGCAACCAATGCAGATAGATAACAGCGCCTGAGCACACAAGTCTGACTGCATCGCTTTTACATGTACTTGCTCAGACTGTCTGCTGGGAAAGTAAAATAAAAAAGCCTTCTGAATACAAAAGGAGATGCATAAAGACTCTCTGTCTGTTACCTGCTCTGGTAAAATGAAACCCAAGCTGGCTCATTCTCTGTCAGCCATTCATCTGTTCATTCACTTCCTTCATTCAACTGTTTATTGTCATTCATGCTCTCTCTCTCTCATGTGACAGAGAGTGGAGAAAAAAAACTATGAATGTATGTATGTAGGAAGGAAGCTGCTGCCATGGAAACTGGTCACCTGTCAGTATCTTCACCAATAGGGATTCCCCTGTGTGTATTTCTGTGAGTGTGTGTCTGTGTGTAGAGTGGGGGGAGAAGCTTTTTTCTCTCCCATGATGCCCTGGGAAAGAGTGTGATGGGTTACAGAAGAATGAGTCAGAGAAGCTCGCATCCTTTTTGCGATGAAACAGTAATAATGTTGAATTTCTTATATATACTGCATATATTTACTTTATTTACTTTTTTGTTGAGCAGAGAAATCTACTGCCATCAGTTGTCATTTTTGAAGGTGTGTGTAGAGACCTCTTCTTCACTCTTATCTTGTTAAAACTAACCTAATTACGTGTTGACTTTTATTTTAAACCAGATAAAACCATCACACCAAATGAAGCAATCTAATGTTACAGTTGGCAGTTTGGAGTTTCTCTCTTTGAGCTGATCCATTATCTTCCGATCGGTTTGAAAAATGGAAGCAGAAGAAATAGCCGGAAAAGCTCAGGAGGAATTGATGGTGCTGAATTCAACAGTCACAGTGCGAGCTTTAGTCAGGTTACGGCATTGGATTTCAGAGGGGTTTGCATTTACAGCATAGATTAACTCTCTCAGGTATTAAAGTAGAAGGTACTTTCTACCTTTTCCCAAGGGGTCGTCACACCAGACGATTCCACATATTTGGTTTGGTACAGATTTTATGCCAGACGCCCCTCTTAATGCAGCCCTTCCATTTATCGGAGCTGGGAACCAGCACTGGGAGCACACTAGCTTCTTACCCCCTGAGGCTGGGTTTGTGCTTCTTTCTGGTCTCGAACTGGGGGTCTTCCATCTGTGAAGTAAGGAGACACAGATGGAAGATGGTACACAAACTCAAAAAAGAAATTATCCTAAAACAGCTTAATAAATTAAGACGTAGGTCCACCTAGATACTTATAGCGCAAAAAAAAAAAGAGTCAAAAATCTGTTCAGTCTGCCTAACAGGCAGATACTTTTAGCCTGGAAATGGACACCATTTTAAATACTCTGAAGTGTGTGAACAGAGCACTCAGCTGAGAAGAGAAATCTATGAATGAATAGATGGCATGCTTTGTGTCTGCGTGTGTGAGCATCAGGTAAGATGGTGCAGGGTTAAGGAGTGAGTCAGAGGAGATTTTCCTTGAGATAGTCTGATGTAAAAGAAAACTCTAGAAAAGTCATTAATAAGAAACTGCACAAAAAAAACACAAAAGACAAAGATGAAACGTGGAGTGTAGGCGCTAGAAGTTTGACTATACCTCAGTAAAGGTGTGAGTCATCCACATTAAGAAGATGTGTATATTTGTATGGATGATTCTGGTCATCTTTTTGATGTTTCTTACTGTCAGTAAATTTTATTGAACCCTGAGAAGCGTTCTGTGCGACCAAAGCTGATATATCTTTCATCCTTGCCGTGCAAACCTCTGCTGCCTGTCTTTGCTTGTCTTTATTTTTCATTTATCACCGTGTTTGTTTCCCTTTCCTCCCAACTGTTCCTGTCTCTGGTTTTCCATCTGCCAGTCTTCCTGGTGACCGGTTTCCTGTCTCTCTTGATAGTTGCCCAGCTCATTTTCTTGCCACCTGGCTGTTTAATTTAATGACTGCAGTCCTGTTACATAACAAGCCCACCTACAATCACCACAGTTTCATCTGTTTATTTTTTATTTTTTTGCGCAGTAGCTGGGTGTATTATCTACTGTGTGTGTTCCCGTTCATACTCGTCGTATATTGTGTATGTGTGCTTTTCCTGTTGGAGGCAAATATTGGAGCTGGCAAGTTAACATCCTATCAGCTCAACGCCCACACAGACTCTGGCCCTAGATAAGTGAATCAGAAATGCTACCAAGCACAGATAAAAATCTTAGCTATTGCAGTGGGCTGTGCTGCTAGTTTCACATAAATCCGAGAATAGGGACTTTTCTACTTGTCTCCAAAAATAGTGAGAGACATCTTTTTTTTAATTTGAAGTAGAAATTATCTGAAATGTCTGTGTTTGCGTACGTCAGCTACTGCATGAATTCTTAGAAACGACACAAACCAGAGTCACCAGTTCATAAAGATAATGCCAGGAGTTTGTCATAGTCTAGTTGAACTAAGTATAACAGTTTTGATAATAGGCTTTACGTTTTAAAATAATAGACTGCGTATAAATGACACATAGAATTCAAGATGCTGCCCATTAGTTTGTGCACTAGTGTTCCTAAGCCTCAAGTTTGGCACGTGAGCTAGGCTATAAACTCACACTTCACTTTCTTAGATGCACCTTGCTAGTACTGTGTTGGACCACTTTTGCTTTCAGAGCTGCTTTAATTCTTCATGGCGTAGATACAACAAGGTGCTGGAAACATTCCTCAGAGATTTTGGTCCATGTTGACATGATAGTTTTACACAGTTGCTGCAGATTTGTCAGCTGCACATCCATGATGTGACCCTCCCGTTCCACCACATCCCAAAGGTTCTCTATTGGATTGAGATGTGTTGGAAGCCATTTGAGTACAGTAATTGCATTGTCATGTTATCAAGCTGGAAACAGCCATCAGAAGATGGGTGTGTTGGTCATAAAGGGATGGACATTAAACAATGCTCAGTTAGTACTGAGGTGCGCAAAGTGTGCTAAAAAAATATTCCCCACACCACCAGCCCGAACTGTTGCTGTTTACAGTCTTCTGTTGTCCAGTTTTGGTGAGCTTGCGTGAACTGTAGCCTATGTTTACTGTTCTTAGCCAACAGAAGTAGCATCTGTCATGGTCTTATTCTGCTGTTGCAAGGTTACTGTTGCCTCCCTGTCAGCTCAAACCAGTCTGGCCATTCTCCTCTGACCTCTGGCATCAACAAGGCAGAGAACCATTGCTCTGCCTTCTTGGATTGGATATTTTCATTTCTGGTCCATTCTCTGTAAACCCTAGAGATGGTTATGTGGGAAAATCCCAGTAGATCATGAGTTTCTGAAATCCTCAGACCAGCCCATCTGGTGCCGACGACCATCCTACCTTCTAAGTCACTTAAATCACCTTTCTTCCTCATTCTGATTCTCACTTAGAACTTCAGCAGGTCATTAATGCTGTTAATATTTGTGTTAATAAGCAGTTGAACAGGTGTACCTAATGAAGTGACTGGTGAGTGCAACTTTGATGTAGGGGTTTTTTTTGCCATTGAACTTTAAATGCAACAAGATGCAAATGAAAATAAATGATGAGAGTTTTTAAGTGATCTGCAGCTATTTGTTCGTCCTCTTCCCTGTCTTCCCTATCTAATAATTAATCTGATGATGCCCTCTTGGCCTCAGTCATGATCTCTCACAGAGCTTTCTCATTATACTTTATTGCAGAAAAATGAATTATACTTCACACAAGAGTATACTGCTCTGATTCACTTCCTATCCACTCAACATATTTGATATAGCATTACGATGGAGTGCTTGGTAAGACTTCCTTTCCCTTCCTATAGTGTACGCCGCACATCTTACTGTTTCAGGATGTACCTAATAGTACATTAAACCATTAGTCAGATGCTAGCGAGAACACTAATAATAACACTTCTCACACACACAAACCATCTGACACAGTGGACCCAGACTATACGCACCACTAATGCTTCCTGTTTGCTTTTAATCAGAGCTCAGGTTTCAGGAAGACAGGATCCATTAGAGGCAAGACACGGCCTGCATCAGATGGATATTGAGTAATGGTTGGAAAGGACCTGCTTTCTTAAGTATATTTTTAAGAAATATTAGAAAGCAGGCATGATGAAGTAAAGTTGGGTCCCTGATTTTTGTTCATTTGTCTTGTGGAACTTCATTCTAAGCTGCACTCTTGGTTGGTTTCCTTTGAGGTCTAATTTATTTGTCTTTTGTGCCAAAGAGAGAGGGGTCAGCTGGATTGATCGAGAATTCTGGGTGTTTTATATGATGCATTGTAGAGTTTTTGATGATGAGCATCACCGTGCAGCAATGCTCTCCTTATTCTTTGTACACATTTTTTCTTCACCCAGCCAAGAGCTGAGATGGAGGCAAGCGATTGGTGCCATTTGTCAGAATTTTTATCAGATAGACGAACAACTACAAAGCCATAAAACTTGGTGCAGAGGTGGAGTGTGGGCAAAAGAAGAGCCCACAGAGAAGCTGCAGTTCATTGTCTTTAAAAGTGAGAGATGAGAGAATTGGCTTTGGTGGGAGACCTGCTTTCTCTTAGTGCCCTTTTTGTTGTTGAACAACTAACTTAAAAAATACTTTGTATTGACAAAAAAATCTACAAGATACATCTCTGGTTGGTCTATATCAGCTTTAAATATGGTCATATGCCATGCTGTGAATTTCTCATGGATGAAACACAACTTTAAATAGCTATTTTTTTTAAACAACCTCAAATACCATTTGGGATAAGTTTGCATAACGTGCATCTTTTTTTAAAATCATTTTTTCAAGATATACCTTTTGATTGACGTTTGTGAAGTCTGTTCAAGATAGATTATTGATTGATTTTTGCATCTCTGATTTGTCTACCCTATGCAAAATTTAATTGTAGCTCTTGTGTTTTGCATATGCAGGAACGAAGGCCATGAGCACTTCCTGTGTTCCTTTGGCAACGGGCCCAGGAGCTGCATCGGAGCTAAACTTACCAACGTCTTTCTGAAGGTGACCTTCACACACAAGCGTGACAAAGAATACATCGACACACACTCTTTAATTATCACTGTAAAAGTGACTTCTTTAACATAAAAGGTTTTTTATGTGGGTTCTGGGGGGTTTTCTGGGGTTTTTTTTTTACTTCCTCTCTGAGACTCTGGTGCATTTAATGGCTTGTTGAAAGATTTGTGGTCTCTGAGCCTCAGCTCTGCATTTTATATTTTGGGCTTCTGGGTTACATGTGGAGGGAAATCGGCTGAAAAGTCGATGGAAAGTTTACTTGCAATGGATTTATCCTCTTTAGAGACAAAGCAAGCGATGCAGCTGATAAGATGTGAAGTAAGGTCTCAGTTGAGCGAAATATTACTGATGTGAGACTGAGGCATCCAGTTAGGTTGTCTGTAGTTGTCCCCAATAATTTGACTAACAAAACTAATATCTTTCAAAAAAAATTGACAGGAAGTTCTTAATTTAGATTTTCACACTCCGGATGCTGAACATCAGCATGATTGTGATTAAAGGGTTCAGTTATTGTTGTATGTTTAGATTAGAGATGGACCGATCCGATATTAAGTATCGGTATCGGTCCGATACTGACCTAAATTACTGGATCGGATATCGGAGAAAAATAAAAAATGTAATCCGATCCATTAAATATCACGAAAGCACCTCACAAAACTT